TATCCTCCCAGCAAACAAAGGCCGCACCACAGTTATTATGGATAAATCACAATACCTGCAAAAAGCCAAAAGGTTATTAGAGGACAAAGAAACTTACATCCCGGTTAACACCAACCCAATACAGAAACTAGACAACCTAATCAAGAGAACCCTCAATACCCTAACTAAGAGGAATTTGAAACAGAAAATTAAGTCTTGGTAAAATATTTATTTTAATAGGTGTAATTCTACTTAACCAAGGCAAATTTAATTTTTTTTCAGCTGGAGATATTTTTCCAAGATGGTAAATAGTTGTTTTTAAATAAAAACCTATTATTAAGACTATTTTAAGTAACCTTGTCCCTAGTTGTTTAGGACTTCTGTACTAATATCAGTGTCCTCAACCTTGCTCAATGGACACTACAGATTGTTTAACAGAATTATAATATGCACATACCCCCGTCAGTAATGAAGCTGTTACATTTTGTAATAATTGTAATTTCTGAACCAGTTCCAAGGTCATATTCACATGGATTACAGTACAGTTATCCAAGGACAGTCTCATATGAAGCAGTGAAGGAATTAAAAATATACTAGTGCATGAATCACAGTTGCCAAGCTGTTGCTGTCCAGAAAATGCATGTAGCTGACATACCTGACAAACCTAATGGTAAATATTTCTAGCTGTGGGGATCACTTTGACCTCTAGTGACAATGTTGAGTACTAGGACTCCCAAATTGCAGAACTGTTTCTTCAGAAGGAGTGTAACTCAATTCAGTACAGCTATTTGTTGAATATCCAGCTTTGGGAATTATTTATCCACAGTGAATTCTCAAGACCCAAGTTCAGTTAACTAAACCTCATGAAAGACAGTATTTTCCTCAAGTATTGATTTAAGTCATATGTGGTCTCTGCTGAATCATATTAGTTTTCAACATGACAACCTCTTGGAGCATATCTTCTAATGACCATATGAAGCAGCTTCATATAAATTTTAAATAGTATCTTGAGGGAAACCACCGATAGACTGTGCTGCAACTTAACTCTG